TTTATTCTACTCTGTTCCCCACTGACAGCTTGGAATTTGCATCTGATTGAAAGGTTTAATTGCGATGTCACTGCAAACCACAGTTACCTTTGAACTTCTCGCAGATCAACAAGTCGCGCGGATGGAGAAACTAGCCGGTCTGGTGGAGGAGCTGGAGGCAGACGAGTGGAGGTACAAGCCAATAGAGCAGCTCCTGGGATTCACTTCCTCCTCGGGCTGAGCGTGGCTGGATCGCTGCTGTCAGGGAGCAGAAGAAAAACATTCTCTGGCCTGGCTTCAGAACACGCCCCCATTTATCAGGATGCCGACAGCTGCATCGGCAGGATGGGCCGCTTTTCTTTTTTCTTTTTTTTTAAAGTTGACAGTGGGGATCCCCCGTAAAGCTGCCAGTAAATGGAAATGACAGGATTCTTTAAGTCATCTGCAGCGTTGCAGGCTGGCAGGGCTCAGTTTCTGTAACTTAGAAGGTAGGATCAGTTTTATAGAACTCGGAGAATCGCCTCGTTGTTTGCAGAGGAGGGAAGACTTACCGTGTGGTGGCGGGGAAAGCACCCCGCTCACTCGGTCTGGCCGTGCCCCGGCACGCGGGCGAAGGGCCGGGTAATCCGCGGGCTGGGAGGGCCGCGTCTTTGCTGCTGGAGGCGGGCTTTTTTTGAGGGACAAAGCCCTGCCAGAAGCGCTCCGCGGCCCCAGCTGCTTTCTGGGGGATGAACAGGAGAACTGTCCGGGGTCGGCTGAGAGGGGGCAGGCGGCGATGCCTTCTCCAGAGGTACCTGGGGTGTCGCCGAAGCTGCCTTCTCTCCATTGCTGTTTCTCTTGTGCCCGCACAGCAGGTGCTGGTAGGACACTTCTCTCTAGTGCAGAAGCTGTATCCTTAATACCCTGAAACTCTTTTTTCCTCTTTATTATGTATTAGATTGCTCTGTGATAATAAAATAATTATGTATTTGAAACTGCTTCTCTCTTCAAAGCTTGGTGCCGGGGGGGGTCTGATGAAAGAAGCAAGCAGCAGTCCGGTGGGTAACAGGAGGTTTACTGAAGCTCAGAGGCAGCTCGGCTGTTACGATGGCCAACTTCAGTTCAATTTAAAAAAGCCCTCTGAGAGGAACCAAACCACACTTGCTTTACGCTCGAAAGTGGATTGATTTAAAACAAGTTTTGATCCTGGCTTAACTCTGCCAGCAGAAAACCCTTATTTAAATCCATCCATTTTAATCATCTTGTTTTTCGTTCGTACTTCACTTGTGTTCTTGAGGGGAACTGGATTTCCATTTTCTGGCATAACCATTCCAACATGTGAATTTTCCATTGATTAGAGCCCTGACGCCACGTTCCCCCTGGCCAGCCGGGGAACAGGCTTAGCACTGTATTTAAGCAATTGTACTACTTACTGCTCCAGATGCCCCATTCTTCCATTTTCAGCATCTTAATTATGAGATGATTTTATTTTTACTCGCTGTTTTAGTCCAGCCGCATCTGGATTGGAAGAGGTCCATTTAAATCCACCCCCATCTTAGTTATACCACCAGCAATTTGTGTTTGCTGACACAAAGAGGGGAAAGTATGGGGGCACGTTCCGTGTTTGTTGCTGTTTGTAAACCAGTTCTGGCATCAGGGTCAGCTTTCCATGACCCGAGCCGCATGCCCCCCAGAAGCCAGCCCCGATCTGCAGATGAAGCCCCAGTTCCAGCCCTGCACCTGTGGAAATTCACGGTTCGGTTCCCGGGGCTGTGTACGGGTGCTCTCGCGTGAGGCCGCAGCTCAGCTGGGACGGGTCCCACGCGCCTGCCCAGTGTCGCCCGACGCGGGATGGTGTTTGGCGTTAAAAATCCATCCCAGGTGGGGCTATCTGGAAAAGAAGGGAGCGTTTCAGTCGTCAGCTTGTTTGTTTGTTTTATATCCTCTATTTTTAATCCCGCTTACCGCAGCCACCTCAATGTACTCAGAACGCCCCCGCAGCAGGCCCC